ATGTCAAGTTAAAATACCATGTTTACAAAATATATATAAAACATTTTAAACTAATAGAGGCATTATGATTTAAACACTCAAGTGGTAGTTCGCTATATATGGACCATTAATAAACTTATTGCACATGGAATAAGGAAGGATACAAAAAGGTACACACACCTTCTATAAATAGCTGACACAAGTAGTAGTTACATACTCATAAATTTCTCAAACTAAGAACTAAAAGCTTCACTACAAGTACACTACTCACTACACATCCTCTCTCTCTCAAGAACCAGCCATGGCCAAACTCATAACTTCTCTTCTCTTTTTCGCCATTCTCTTTTCTTCCATCTTTCTCACTATGTCAAAAGAAGCAGAGTACCATCCGGAAACTGTAAGTAGTGCATGCATGTTACAATCTTCATTTGAATTTTATCCTTTTAATTTCCATTCCTTTTTATGCTAAAAACCCTAAAACCCGCGTTTCATTTTGTTTTGAAAACAGTATGTACCAGGAAAACTGAAATCATACCGTAAGTAAAAAATTTCTTCTTTTTTTTTTGTAATCTCATTTTGTTGTTATGAAAAGATAAAACAAAACTTGAATATTTCACGATTGCAGAATGTGGAGGAGAATGCACGAGGAGGTGCAGCAACACGAAGTACCATAAGCCATGCATGTTCTTCTGCCAAAAGTGTTGTGCTAAATGCCTTTGTGTTCCTCCAGGCACTTACGGCAACAAACAAGTGTGTCCTTGTTACAACAATTGGAAGACTCAACAAGGTGGACCAAAATGTCCATAAGGAAACAAAAAGAAAGAAGAGAGAAACCAAATCTATTTTGTATCATTCTCTTTAATTACTCCTAGTATGTTTTTGTTGTCATCATGCTAATTAAATTATAGTTGTTATTTGCATGCATGATGCATCCCTATTTATCATCGCTATTCAATATCATCATACTTTTCCTGTAATTTGTTGTATACATGTTTCATTCATATTTGTCTTTTGTTGGATCACTAAACGAAATGTGTGTATGGACCTTCTAATTAAGGAATCTATGAAACCTTAATTAGTAATTAATCTATGAAACCGTAGTAAACTGAATGCTCAGATTTAATTCCAATGACGACTTCTAATTATTGGCCGACTTTTTTCACAACAATAATTAAAAGATATTCAGTTACTAAAAAATGCAAATTTCTTCTTTATTTTTCTCATATTTTTCAAAGAGATAATGTATATGCTCAGTTGAGATTATATATGAGAAAATCATCAATCGGTTGAAAACAAAAATTGAATCTCAACATAGTTTAAAAAATTGTTTTCCACAGGACTGGACTATCAAAATTAACAAGATTATCACAAAAAAAACATACATAATTTCACAATTAATTATTACAGAAACATAATTCTTTGGTTTTACTTTTAACATTTTAACACTTTTGTAAGTCTTTACCAATTGTTCAAAGAAAAAAAAAAGTGTACGTAAAATTGTCCTGAACAGAGGAAAGAGGTCTCTGGACTCTGGAGACTGTGGACTTAGAGGG